GCACGCAGCCGGGAGCACGCGAGGACCCCGAAGAGCCCCGCGCCCCGCGTCCTGCGCCGGCCCCGGATCCTCACGAGGACGGCCCCTCTGCTCCGGGCCGGGGGCGCCGGGCGCGGGCGGCCCCGCGGGCTCAGGTCTCGCTCATCAGCACGTCGTCGTTCGTGCTCAAGGGGGACGCGACTCACAACCAGGCGATGGTGCACTGGACGGGCGAGAACAGCAGCGTAAGTGACCCGGGATACCTCAGGACGCCCCAGGGATGCCGCCGCGGCCCCGCTTCCGCACACCCTCTAGGCACCCTGGGCGGTCCTGGCGACTTGGGGATGCGGGTCACCTCTTCGGCGCCCCTCCTGGTCTCTGGTCGCTCGTTACTTGGGGAACTGTCCCCGATAGGTGAGCCGCTGACTTGCTCAGGGGGCAGATGGTATATTTTGTGACCCTGAGCTGCCTGGGGGTGGGGGCTGTCCTACACATCCCAGGTTACCCTGGAAGTCCAAAGGTGGGGGACCTCAGCCAGCGTGGCACCTCCAGGTGCTGAGGCTCTCCCCAGCCTAGGGTTGCAGGGTCCCCTTCACATTAATTCCTTGGTCAGCTCTGCAGCACCTTCTGGTACTTCTCGCTGGGATCCTTCCCACCCTGTTGGCTTGGGGACCCTGAGGGTGCCAGGACTGCCCTGGTCAGCCCTATGTGCTGTTCTGGGGCTCTTCTCTCCTGGCTTGCTTCTTTGAGGTCCATGCTGCACCTGGACGCCCTGGAGCAGCATTCCTGCGACCCACCTGGCTGTTGGGCTGCACACTCCCTGCCCTCCCCCACTTGCTCCTTCATAGGTCCTCCTGTCACTCTGAGGATGGGGGGGGGGGGCTTACAGGATTTGAGGTGAGAGTCAGATGGCCTTTCCAGGGTTGCCCCTAGGCAGTCACAGCTGGGTCCTCTCCAGTTTTGGGAGTTTGGGGGAAGGGGCAGGCAGCTGTGCCCCTCTGCGTTCCCCCAGCCCAGGGAATGTGCTGTGCTGTCTCTCTTAGTGGCTGCCCCTGCTGTGCTCCCAAAGCTCTGGGAGGCAGCACAGGGCTGGGATCCCCACATGCATGCACGGTGGGGAGTGAGTGGGCTGGATCTGCGTGCCCACTCTGCAGCCAGGGGGACATTGTTTCCAGCCATCTCGTCCTCTAGCACCCATCCTCTGACTGGCTGGAGAAGGGGTGGCACGCAGGGGAACATGTTGGAGTGGGCACAGCACTGAGTGGACTTGATTGGCCCAGAGCCAGGGGTCCTGTTGGCTCCCTCCCCCTCCAGCTGGTGGCTGCTTGGGTGCTGGTGCCAAGCCTCTGGTCAGGGGTCATCGCTAGTACCCCAGATTAGACCAGCAGCTGGCAGACAGCAGAGCAGAATTCTGGACTCGGGCCAATGGGGGGGTTGCCAGGGTGCCCACTGGGGTACCCCTCCCTGGAAGAGCTGGGGGCATCCTCCCCTCATTTTGAGCTAAGGCTCAGGCCCCAGGTATGCAGCTGGGCCAGCCCCATTGGACTCGCCAGTATTGTGGACACTCTGTCTGCTGTACCATAAACCATACAAGAAAGGGAGAAAAATGAACATTAAAGTAGACCCTGTGGGTCCAGAAATACCTACCCCTCCATCCCATCTGCCAAGGTTGTCATCCAGCCACTAACTTCAGTCCCTTTGTCATTTGGCCTGGAGGGGTGTGTGTGTGT